AAAGAAAACTAAAATTAATTAGTTTGCTTAAAATGCAGTCTTCTGAGAAAGGTTCATTTATTTTACAACATTTTTCTTGTAATGATATTGAAGATTTTAATGATTATCAACTTATTGATAAGGAATTTGTTGATGTTTTGCATCAATCCAATGATGTTAATGTTACAGAAAAAGATATAATGTGTCTAATTTACATTTCTGGATATGTTTGTAGATCTGTATTGAAGCATATAAACTGTAATCTTTGCAGGAAAAATTTAATTCTTGACAAAGAATTAATAGTTGAATATTGTGAAGATTTTGGATACTTAGCTGCTATTGATCGAGGTGGTTTATTTTGGCCAACAGAATTTGTGCTTTTCATTAATACCTCTGCATTTAAAATATTTTCAATCCTAATATCTGAAATGTATGAGAAATTATATATTTCATCAAAAAATCAATATATCAATATCTATATTAATAAGTCTCATCACAGAGAAAGTTGAAAACAGGATTATTTGGGATGATAGTATTTGTGAGTGTGGCAAATCATTGCATGATTTGTTGAAAAGTTGTGCCACATGCATTTCCAATATATTGCTGAATAATTACTGTAAGGTTAAAAATAACAATTTAAAGGAAACCAATGACCAAAAAAGAAAAATGAGTAAATTAAATAATTCTGGAATTTAGGTGAATTTTTTACGTAATTTTAAAGTTAAATAATTAGTATTTGCAAACTGTGCATAATTGAGCCATGGATATATATATGAAATTACCTGATCGCGAAAAGTATATCCCTTTCCAAAGATGAACATTTCCACGTATAAAATAAATAAAATATCCAATAAAGAGAAAGATATGGCTTCAATTAGATAAGCTTTAAGATAAACAATTGTAGATCATGATTTAAAAGTAATTTTTAGCAAAACTAAAGCAGAAGAAAAGACGAGCGAGAACAATGAAAAAGATTATGTAGTATGATGTATGAAATGATAGAACTAAGTTCAATGGAGGCTCATGAAGTCTGGAAATAAGTTGAAAGATCCATCAATAAGAAAATTAACGACGGTGTTTACAAAAACTACAAAATAAGATTTTTGATGCAAAAACTGCATATTTAAATGGATACTTGAATAAAAACCAATTTACATGGAACACCACCTGGATTTAAATCAGATTCAGACTGCCAAGCATTAATAGACTGGATAAAAAACCAAAACAAAGTAGTAGTTCAAGGCACATTAATCGAAATCCTTTGCCGTAAGCCAAAACAACTGGCTAAATCATGTTTATTTTTTGTAGACCTCTCAAATCAGGGGCTACAATGATAAGCCTGTTTTGGCATTCATATTTCAAAAATTTGAATGGCAAACTTCTTGTTGATGTGAATTAATGATGTTTAAATTAATAATTAATATCTTATAACGTAATGATTTGCTGAATTTTTCATTGCTTAATACTGCATGCATCTTTTACTATTTGTCTATTATTAAATAAATTTACAGTGTATATTTAATCAGATGTTCTTTCATAAGAATTTTTTATAGCATGATATGGTGCTCATTGGGGTAGATTGCATAGTTATGATCTCACTTTATTTTCAGGGAATTTTATAATATATTTTTGGATATGCTACAAGATTTCTCTGCTAATCTTTGGAATATGGTAACAGGTAGTTTGGAGACATTTTGGTAAGGCGATAAAGGTTACTAGCTAGGACATTAGCAGTGTATGTGGATAAAGTCAAGAGTGTGCGCCATGCCATTTTTGTGCAATTCTAGGATGTTTTTTAAGTGAAAATAGGCCGACGTGTACATGGATACCGTGCATGTGCTATTCTTAAAAACGCGGCAAGCAGTGGGCGATTCTGCACTTTCTCCCAATTTCGCACCTAATCTTCGTCATGATTAAGCACTTTTGTTCCATAAAAGTTCTAATATAAGCGTAATTAAATGTTGAGTTAAAAAAAAAAACATACCTTTACTTTGAGAAAACAAAATGGCATCCAAAACAAAACTAGTAGGTTGCTGTAGCGGGGTTGGTCGCCAAAAAATCGCCAAGTTACCATAATCCAAAGATTAACCGATTTCTCGTATAATGTTCATGCTTTAAAACATCTTTAAAATAAAAAATTTTTCTTATATACAGTCAAAAGTCGTTAATCCGGACTCGTCGGGACTTCGGCGATTCCGGATTATAGATCATCAGTTTAAATATCAAAAGATGGCATGCAGGAATTCTAAAATTAAAAATATGAAACCTTAATTTATGAAATAAAGAACAATTATAATCTAAAGGGTATCAAAATTTACAAAAACATACTTTCGTTTTGTACGATCCTTTGGGAGCTCCAGAAATCGGAAATTCTATTTGACATAATCGAAAGTTCAAGTTTCCTTTTATAAAATTGCTCTTATAGTCTGCAAAAAGTAATAATCCGGATCCAATTCGAAGATTAAGGAACAACGCAATCATCAACATCAACTGAAATAGATAATTAGATAATTTTAGATTATGCCATCCGTTATACATAAAACGTGCACGCAAAAACGTATTCTGTGCTTGCGCACACGCATATGCACAGTGGTAAAAGGTTTTACGCGCATGCGTAAACGCCTATGCGCATGTGTCAACGCGGCGCAAGAGCAGAAAGTTTTTAGCTTTGAGGTCCGGATTATAGATCATTCTGGATTATGGGTGTCCAAATTAACGACTTTTGACTGTATTTCCCAAAATGTTCACTTGTACGTTTATAATTAAAAAGTACCGGTACTTACGTATTATCGCAACTAGGTCAAAATTCGCATAAATTGCGAAATTTGGCAACCCTACGTGTTATACGTAGTTTTGTAAAAAGAGCATGTGGAGATTCACAAAATTTTCCTGCATTTTCGTGCAAATTTTTGTAATTTATGAGAAAATAGCAGTGTACATGGATAAAGTGAAGAGTGTGCGTAATGCCATTTTTGTGCAATTCTGGGATGTTTTTTTAAGTAAAAATAAGTCGACGTGTACATGGTTATGGCGAATACGGTTTTTAATCAGTGCTAAAAGCAATAGCCAAAAGATTTCCGCCGAAAAAATAATTCTGCAACTGCTTCTAATCTGCTTCGAATATTTTTTCTCTGTTTAGATTCATTGTAACACGCAACTGCATGATGCATTCTGATTTTTAAATATTGAAATTTCACTGCTTTAATTAATTTAATCAGGTGGTTTTTATCTGGCTCATCATCATAAATATGGTCTTGAAGAGAAGGGAATATATGTGTTCCTACGCTTTTTAAGACTTTTAGAGTCATGAATTTATAATATTTTTTTATTCAATTTAAACTCCTTTTCAGTCTGCCTAAAAATTATTTCTGCATTTTTGCAGATCATTCGGACATCACTGGAAGGAGAAGTCAAACCTTTACATCCAGATTTATAATATTTGAAACCTAGCAAACATCATATGGTTCTGTTGAAACTAAAGCTGAGAAACAGATATTACATTTTACTTTATAAGCTAAGCTTTTAACAACAAAGCCAGCTATATAAGATGTATACTTTTCGTTCTGAAATATTCTTATTTTTGACTAGTTATAATGTTAGGAATTAAAATTTACCTATAATTTAAAAAAGCAGCAACAAATTATAAATTTTAAAGAAAAACTTTCAAAAATTCATTTTTAGGCATTTTAGTATTTAGTTATAGTTTAGTATTAGTTATAGTTTTAGTAATTGTAAGAGAAAATTACTTGGTTGAATTTTTCTGTTAGTTCAGATTTAAAATATTATTTTCTAAAAGAAGAAGTTACAAATTCGCTTACATCATAGGAATAGCTAAAAATATATACAAGCCTGAAAGCATGCAACAGCTTTATAATTATTTAGAACGTTAATTACCCTTGAAAAACATGCTAAGTATTTAAAAAGCAATCTCAATGTCAAAAATAAAAATATTTAAAAATGTGAAATGAGGCACTACCACCAGCTTTTTCGTGACAATTGTACGCGCTGCAATAGCCAACCCACGGAGTATAATAACTCTCTTATACTCCGTGAGCCAACCATTGCTAATTTCTGGAAGTTGTCCCTACTCCTCCGGATGTGATCAAGGTGACAGCCGGGAACGCGCCAGACAAGGGAGGAAACGCAATTGGGTTAGTCTATTTCTTATAAGGTCCATGATGACAACCATAACGTGGTCTACTATAATGAAGCTGTTTCTTCCCGTTTTGGCCTTAAGGCTGTTCTCCGAACCTTATCCGCGTATTGTTTCATGCGCCCATGTGGAAATCTATCACTGATGACGTGACGAATTAAAGTTCTAAGAAAAGTAAAAAGCTTCTCATCCGATCTTTTTTTGCAGTAAGTATAAAATTTAAAACCGAAATATCAGAGTTCCGCATTGTAGAAAATTGACTTTGGTATTGAAAGGCGGTTAACACTTTCCTTTTCTAAATTACCTTTAGCTTATAGAAATAATAAATTCTTTGACCAATGCTTTTTAATTTCAGACTAAATAAAATTATATTGAGGGAAATTCGAAATTCCAGTTATAAATTTGTCATCAGTATTTCTACATTTTGATTTCATTTATTAATTTTATCTCTTTAAAGTCAATTCATTTATGTCATGCTCAGAAAATTTTTTATCACATGCTAAGTCTAAACTCATCTAAGAGCTTGATTTTAAAACTCAAGAATATAACACTATTATTAGTTACGTAAATTATAAATTTGTTTTTTTCCCAACTTTTATTTAAGTTTTATTGTGCTTCTTATTAATTTCTTGTGTATCTTTTCTATTTCGTAACTGCATTAATATATTTGTCGATAATTATCAGGGATAAATACATAAATAGAGAAGTGGAAAGTAAAAATAATAGTTTTCCAAAGCATATCTGAAGCAATAAACTGTTTTTAAGTAACTTGCATTTATATTAAAACAGACGTTTATTTAGTTTCGGTATGTGGTGTAGATCGGTGCTTAGCTATAGCGCATGCGCATAGAATCGCATTTCTAGATGACACCATCACTGCAGAGTGGAATGGTGTCAATGTAGCTAGTTAACTGCAGTAGTCAAAAACTGCGGATGTGTGTCCGTTTGTTCTATTCGTTGTCGTTTAAGGCATGGAATTACGTCAGTTTTGTCCGGCGTTCATTTTTTATGATGTATGGGGTTGGATGAGATAGGGAAAAATTTGTGAATGCCTCCTATTTTATTACTTCGTGTATTAAGGTTTTCCTCCTATGGTAGTTGAATATATATGTAACATTTATATCTATCTATATATATATATATACATATATAAATATATAATATTTTTTATTTATATAGTAATTTTGTAATCTAGTGACATTTATAAAATAACATATAATACTTGTTGAAATACATATATTGTAAAATTTTAACCCTTTGATTCTGCCCAGACGGGTTTAGGTGTAAAAATTTTATTCAGTTTGAATAGAAATTTAGCAAACATAATGATAACTTGCGAATATCGCTAAAAGAGAAGCAGTAGCTTCCTTACCCAATAAGATTCCTCTTGCAATATCTAGTCAGTTGTAAAAATGTTAGAACCCTCGTCGTCAGAAGAAGAAAGCGAAAATGAAACAGTCGAAGAAGAGAGTTCGGAAGCTACAGCGCTGTCTGCTTCTGCGACAAATTTGGATATCCCAAGGAGTAGTAGCATTCCCCGTAGCATATCGCCAGCCAGTGGTGCGGATAACTTAAGCGTGGTGAGCAGTTCTCAGTCTAGATCGAACAGTCTAGCTCGACCTTCTAGTCCCAGTCCATCTCTGGTCAGTGAGAAAGATAAAGAAAAAGATGAAGTTGATAAAGCTGAGAAGGAGGAAGAAGAGCGGAAGAAGCGTCTGCAGCTGTACGTGTTTGTATTGCGCTGTATCGCATATCCATTCAATGCAAAACAACCTATGGACATGGTCCGTAGAAATTTGAAAGTCACGAAGCAGCAGCTCGAAACAATTCAAGGACGTTTCCAAGCGTTCTTCAAGGGGGAGACAACTATTGCAGCAGATGAGGCCTTCAATAATGCAGTACAAAACTACTATGAAGTTTTCCTTAAGAGTGACCGAGTATTGAGGATGGTACAAAGTGGTGCCTGTTCACAACAAGATTTTCGTGATGTTTTTAAAATAAACATTGAGAAAAGAGTTCGCAGTTTGCCTGAAATCAATGGCCTTAGCAAGGAAACTGTCCTCACAGCATGGTTAAATAAATTCGATGCAATACTTCGAGGGGACGAAGACACTCGAAAACCTCAAAGTAGGTTACAGCAGAATGTTGCCTCTGAACTTATATTAAGCAAAGAACAGTTATATGATATGTTCCAGAATATTCTAGGCATAAAGAAGTTTGAACATCAGCTTTTGTATAATGCTTTGCAGGTATGCTAATTGTTTGTATCTGTAATAAGAGTTTATTATATATTTTTATTATTTTAGCATTTGAACATAAGCTTTTGTATAATGTATTGCAGGTATGCTAATCGGTTGTATCTGTGATAAGAATCATATATTTTTATTATTTTAGCATTGTTGTATCTATTTTCACATACTGCATTGCATGTGTGTGTATTTGTTTTTCAGATCAGTATTTTTTTTTTTTTTTTTTTTTTTTTTTTTTTTTTTTTGTATTTAGAATTTAGTAAAATGAAAGGCTGAACATTAAAAATTCGTACAAGATTTAAAAGAAAGTGGGTGGGGACTTTAGAAAAGGTGTTACTAATACACAGTTTTCAGCACATGAATAATATTTAAATTGTTCTCAAAATATCATTGAATGTGTAAGATCATACTGTATCATAATTCTGATAGAGTGTCACCTTAAAAGAGGTGTCTTTATAGTGCGTGTTCAGATTTGAGCTTATTTATCTGTCTATTTGAATGAATCAAATGCTGTTCTTTTATTTGCTTCCATTTCCCTGATATTTCAGTAAAATAACTAGGAAATATTAAAAATTAAATGCTATCTATTATTTAATATTATGTTCAATTAAATTTCATTTTGCTGTCTGCAAAATTCAGGTAATATTAAAATGCTGTAAATGTACAAGACATAAGTTGTACACAGGTTTTGGAGGGATCAAAGGGGGCATTAAAATGCAGTGTTATAAATCAATTTGATTAATTGGTAAAAGTTTACAACTGGGTGCCCCTTGTTTTTTGGCGATTGTTTTGTGACGCTAAGATTGGCACCAGGAAGACATAATTTCAAGCTGGCCTCTACACAAAACCAAAATGAAAAGTCAAAGAATTGCATAAACTCTGTGTCCATGTACACATCGATCTGTTTTCGCTTAAAAAAACATCCCAGAGTTGCACAAACTAAGCATTGCGCACTGTTTAAATTTGTCCATGTATACATCAGTCTATTTTTATTTTAAAAAATTCAGGAGGCTAAAGTAAAGTTACACTATTATGGTAACCAGAAATAAGATTTCATCGACAAAATTTTACAAAAAATTTTCGCTAATCGAAGGGGCACCCAATTCTACACTAGAGCCGATTAATTATTTAAAGGAGTAAAAAGGAATTGAAATGTATAGGGTAAAACGGTTATTTTATGGTAGGAAGCAAATTTTGAGGAAGCTTTCCAAATTTTCTCTGTATTACCAATTTCTGTATGAAGTAGGTTAACTTTAATCTGAAAGAGCTATTTTCTTGAACAAAATAATAATCTATCTAAATCATTCCAAATAGCTTCAGGAAAGGTATCTGAACTGATATATCATTAAGAACATTTTAATTATCATTATTAAGTGAACAGAAAGATTTGTTTCATAATAAATACAGTCAAAAATCGTTAATCCGTACTTGTCGGGACTTCGGTGATTCCAGATTATCAATTTTTCCGGATTATAGATCATCAGTTTAAATCTAGTAAGATGGCATGCAGAAATTATAAAATTAAAAATATGAAACTCTAATTTATGAAATAAAGAGCAATTATGATCTAAAGGGTATCAAAATTTACAAAAAAAAAAAAAAAAAAAAAAAGCTTAATATTTATTTGTTTGCTTTATTAAATATTTCTTTCAATGTAAGTTGTTTAAGTTGCTTCGTTTTATGTGATAATACTTTCTCTTTAATTCTATTGTTGATCTTTACATTATGGTAACTTAACGATTTTTTGGCGAAAATTTGGCAACCAACTCTCCTACAGCAACCCTCTATTTTTTTTTCCCCGCCGCCATTTTGTCTTCACGAAGTAAAGACATGTTTCTTTTCTTTCTATTACAATCTACTAGCCGAATTACACTTATGCTAGAAATTTTATCAAACCAAAACTGCTTAATCATGACAAATATTCACTGCAAAATTGGGAAAAAGTGCACAATACCATACTCCTTACGCGTTTTTCAAAATAACACATACACATAAACCATGTACACGCCGACTTATTTTTGCTTAAAAAAACATCCCAGAATTGCACAAAAATGGCATTGCGCACACTCTTCACTATATCCATGTACACTGCTTTTTTCTCATAAATTAAAAAAATTTCACGAAAATACATGACAATTTTCTCAATCTTTAAACCCGGTAAAAAGAACGTATATGAAATTACCTGATCGCGAAAATTTTGTGAATCTTTAAATTCGGTAAAAAGGACATATATGAAATTACCTGATTGCGAAAAAGTACATACCCTTTCCAAGGATGAACATTTGCACGTATAAAATAAATAAAATATCCAAAAACTTTTCGCTCTAAATTACCTATTATAAACCTCACCTGCCAATTTATAACGCAAACATTAAAAATGGTTCCGAATACTTAGTGTCAAATACTTAAATTCTTTCCATGTACATTTACTTCTACTCAAACGTATTCCAAAATACTACAAGCATATAACTCTCAAAATCACAATCATTAAATTAAAATATAATTAAATTAAAAAAACACTACTTAAAATATAAATAAGCACATACATTAAATTAATAAAAATTAGCTTACAATCCTAATTACTTTAAACTAAATCATTGCTAATAACAATTTTCCAATAATACCATATTAATTTATTTACTCCTTACATTTAGAATGATGCATAAGAATAATATCCTCAAATAATTAAAAATACTAACTTACTTAATCTTCTACAGAATCTTGAGTGCATGATGGATCACAAAATGTCCATTTTCACCAGATTTCTTGCACCGCCATTCAAACTTATCTGTAATATCCTTCCTTTCACACAATCTCATTTCATTGCCACATGTTGGACATTCATACTTATCCGCAATTAAGCAATTCTTTTCAATTACACATAAATGCAATAAAAATTTCGGATTTAATTTATATATGGCCATGGGATCCAAATATTAAACAACACTGTTTCACAGAACATAGAATGAAACTAATGCTATAAAGTACAGCAGATATTTTTACAAATTTACCCCCTTTTCTGATTAAAGAACAGTGATTCGTCCATTAATGTCACATGACATATCTCATGATCTCTCATTTCCCTCACACAAAATAATGCGTAATCGGAACTGAGTACTTCTCACATTATTCCCAAAGTCCTAGGTAGTAACCTTTATCGCCTCCAAAATGTTGCCAAACTACCTGTTACCATATTCCAAAGATTAGCCGGATAGTGCTGACAGATCAACTTCCGATTCATTGCGCGCCGCGGCGTCCCCCTGCCGCAGAGCAGCGTGAAATTGATAAACAGATTTCGGAGAGGTTAGAGAAACAAAGGATACGCATTTATCCATTTTTTGCAGCAATTCCACTTTTTGTTTAATGGACTTCGAAACATACTTTCTTTTTGTAGATCCTTGACATATTAGTAAATATATATCGGAAATTCTTTTTGACATAATCGAAAGTTCAAGCTTGCTTTTATAAAATTGCTCTAACAGTCTGCGAAAAATAATAAGCCAGATCCAATTCAAAGATTAAGGAACAACGCAATCTGCAACATTAACTGAATTAGATAATTTTAGCTTAGCTTATACCATCCGTTATACGTTAAACGTGCATGCGTAAACGTATTATGCACATGTGCACATGCATATTCGCGTCTTACGCGCATATGTAAATGCCTATGCGCATCACGACGCATGCGCAAAAAGTTTGTAGCTTTGAGGTCCGGATTATGGGTGTCCGAATTAACGACTTTTGACTGTAGTACTTGTTTGTTAATACTTATTATAGGATAGTAATCTTAGTGCAAGTACCATAAAAATAATCTGCATGAGTGTTGTGTTATTGCTGTGACTTATATTAGAAGGAGTGCAAGATTGCACCTGTCATTGGCAAGAGCATGGATCACTATATAGGTGGCAGTACAACTTTGTTTTGCCCCCAATTTTGATAGAGAGCACCCTGGGGGAATGGGTCCGAGGGTCTCTCACCCCTCTTCCCCACCTTTCTAAAGGACTTTCAGCTCATCGCATATTTAGATTGTTCCCATGTTGCAGATATTATACATTTACAAACATCTATGCCTTCTAGATTTGAAACCAAGCTCTTTGGTACGGCAGTCAGCGTCACTAACCACTATTCCAGTTGGGTGGCATCTGAATGAATAAATGTAAATATTTACAGGTGGTTTAAAGGGAGCATAATTTAAAACACTGTATATTAAAAAGGAAGCATTATTTAAATCTTTGTATATTTGCTTATGAATGCTTACTTTATACATATTCAGGCATTTTGCTAACTTAATTTTATTATAGTGAACTGTCAGAGATGAATGGGTATAAATTATTAAATGGGATAAATGATAAAGATGGATTGCAAGTTGGGGGAATTTGAGCTCAGTAATTCTGTTTATTCTGATCATCTTTTTTTGGCTCTAGTGTAGAACTGGGCGCCTCTTCAGTTGATGATAAATTTTGTTCAGTTTTGGTGATGAAAGCCTTTTTCTCGTTACCATGATAGTTTTAACTTGGTTTTAGGTTCCTGACTTTTTTAAGTGAAAATAGATCGATATGTATGTGTACATCAAGTTTGTGCAATTCTTTGACTTCTTACTTTGGTTTTGTGTAGCAGCCAGCTTGAAATTGTGCCTTCCTGGTGCCAGTCTTGGCATCAAAAATGAATCTTCCAAAAAAACAAGGGGCATGCAATTGTAAACTTTTACCCCTTTTTTTTAATTGCAGCAAATCACAAACTTATTATTAAAGAATTAATTACTACTCTAAATAAGAATAGTATAAACATGTGTGTAGACATTAATTTTTTATTATGCAACTTAAAAGGTATTTTTTATAAAGTAAATTTTATAAAGTATTTAAGTATTTCTAGAAAATTAAAGCATTTTCTTTCCTCTTCCTTTTTAAGTTTTTTTTTTGTTCGTCTTTTGTATATAAAGATCTAAATTTCCTTGCACTTATTGCATCACTACTTGCCCATTTTAAAACCTTAAAAGAAAA